TTCCCAATGTTGTGTATCTATTATCCACAACCGGAATGGTTTGTTACAGCAGGTTGGGTATAAAATTATGTCAAGATGCCAAGGCAGGTGGCTCATTTCATTAGTACTAAATACATAAAATATTATATATATCATACACATCTCATTTCATGTTTTACTTATCTTGATGAAATAACAGATTTAAATCATATGAAACAGCGAGACATTTCATCTGGACACAAACCTTTTTATTTCCATGCAAAAATCTAGTAAACATTGACAAAAATACTTGTATCTGGAAAACCTCAAATAGACACTTTTCATGTACCACTCGCCCCCTTCAAAGCATCCCAAATTATTTGGTTGTGGTTTCAGGAGTGCATACCTTACAATTAGAGTTTGTTTTTTCTCATGGACTACTTCTAAAGTAGACTTGAGTGCAGGTCAGATCAGGCACAAACATATACAGATTACACCCACTTAACTACAGACCCGCAACCAGAGTATGAGATACTCTGTGGAATATGCAGGCCTTTAGCAAGTGGCCTACGAAGCGTTTGGAAATGTGGTTTTTGAGTGCTACTAAAACATCTCACCACCAGGATTTCCACAGATTCTTAACTGACCCGCAAAACCATAATTACTTCGACATAAAGAAATGTAGAAACCTGCGCTATAGAATATCATATATATGCCATTTGACATTAGAAAAATGCTGTATTCTGAAAACCACAACTAGCTAAGACCGCAAACAGAAACCATGAACAACAGTGTGTCCTTTTAGACTGAAAGGACAAGCCTTCCAATTAAACTAAGTATTATGTTCATGAAAATGCCATGGTATCAAATATACAGAGACATTTTAAGAGAATGACTAGCCATGAGGGTCAGGTCTGATACAGGGTGATCCAAAATCATTATAGGATTGTTCAACAGACATGAATCAATGAGCTCTGTAAGCACATAATGCAAGGTGGGGGTTATATTTGAAGAACATCAACATACAGAACCTGATAACCATATCAACTATTCGATAAAGCAAATAATCAGAGCTAGCTTTGGGTAACACAATACAAGAAAATGACTAAGATCCAAAAATAGAAATAACGGAAACTTGTGTTTAACAAGGACAGTTTGTCTCCCGTGAATAAACAATAATAATCCCAGTAAAAGGATTGACCTGGAAATCAATGACAAGAGACACCAAATCTATAATTACGTGATAATTTAAAGCTGGGTGGACATATAATAACAGAACCTATATGAAACATTAAATCTGAAGTTAAATCTTAGGGCAACTTCTATAATTTTACAACTAATAATAAATGCCTTCTAAGTATCAGAATGAAGAAAATGGATAAGAGGCTCATCTGTGTCTGCTCATGACAAGCAAAATATCTGCTTCTGATCATGACAAGGCAAAAGAAGCCAAAAGACAACAATCCCAGCTGCCAAAAATAAACTAAATAAGTTGAACTGATATCCAATCTTACCAGCAGAGATGGAAGAAATGTGGCAAAAATGAAAATAGTCTGCCCTTACTAATAGAACCAGTTCCAACGATTCAAATTAATCCTTAAAGACCTAGCAAATATCTAAGCTAATTACCCAACACAAGAAATTAGAAATGAAAACTCATCAAATCACAAATATCCTAGATAAATAGAATTCTCAGACAATGGCATGAAGTTGTATGAGTAGGGATCTCATTTAGCACTCCATAAACATGGCTCCAATTAGTTTGGCACTAGGCTGGTATCTCATGATGTGTATGTTACATCGGTGAGCATATGTAGGCAAGAGGGATTAGATGTGCTCAGCAATCGCAGCTGGAAACCTCCAAATTACCAGTAACCAATCAGAAGAGTGGAAACATTTGACTCTATCTACATACCCTGCTGTCAGGTAATGTAATTGCAACTGACGGTAATACATAAACTGATGTTTTTCTTATGTCCGGACCCAACAAATCAACTGTTGAAATAACAGCTATGAATACATTGGGCTATAACCATAAATGGTACGACTCAAAACATGGACATACTGTCAAAACTTCAAGAAAACACTTTGAACATTATTAAACAATTCCTATCAACATTATTGAACAATTCCTATCAACATTATTGAACAATTCCTATCAACATTATTGAACAATTCCTATCAACATTATTGGACAATTCCTATCAACATTATTGAACAATTCCTATCAACATTATTGAACAATTCCTATCAACATTATTGAACAATTCCTATCAACATTATTGAACAATTCCTATCAACATTATTGAACAATTCCTATCAACATTATTGAACAATTCCTATCAACATTATTGAACAATTCCTATCAACATTATTGAACAATTCCTATCAACATTATTGAACAATTCCTATCAACATTATTGAACAATTCCTATCAACATTATTGAACAATTCCTATCAACATCCCACACATCAATTCAGTTAACATTTCAAAGAGACACATTTGATTTAACTCAGGAATGAAAATGACACCACTATGGCTAAATCAGTATACCAGAACAACCCAACAATTAAGACCTCAAAGACAGCCAGACCTGAAACTTGCCTTAGATGTGAAGATCTTGCTGGTGAGATGTTTGGCAGTTGATAGGAGAGTGATGGCTGGATAAGCTGATGGAATACCTTGAGAGATAGAATGGTGTCTATAGCATTAACAGATGCTGTGCTGTGTTTTGCCAATGGTAGCTTCCACTAGCAGGATATGTATGCCAATTAAAGGTAGCGAGGTGGGATACCTGAGCTGTGGGCCAGAGATGAAGCACTTTATCATTTACTCTTCTCTCTCTGTAACCCAAACCTAGTCTACTATGGAGACCACATTTGCTCATCTACAAGCTCTTAGCAAAATCTGAGCATAGCTAATCACAATACTGTTTCCAAAATTTAAATCAAAATTTCACAATGAAGATACAATAACCCATAATACCAATAGAGGTACACGCAATAGGCATAACTTATAATTTTGAAACAGAGTTAGATCCAATAATTGGTGAGATGATTTCTGTTGGGGCAGTTCTACAGACTAGGTCTCAAGATGTAAATGCTGCTGGCTACAACATCCTGCACGACTGGTAGCCTGAGATAATTACCAGTTCGCCAGATATTTTACACCTTCAGAAGCACGGGGCAGATAGAATTTGTACAACTGATGCTCAAGTTTCTTTCAACTCCCATCTCTCTTTTAAAATCCAATCCATAAAAACAGCTTTAAAAATCCAATCCATAAAAACATCTTTAAAAATCCAATCCATAAAAACAGGGGTTTCAGAAAATATGAATACCAGAAAACAATACATGATAGAACACAAAATGACATATATTTCATCCATGGACACATACATAATCTAAAATGAATATAACAATGCCCTCGAAGGAAAAAAACAGATTGGTTCTTATGAGCTAAGTGATCTTGATATGGACCCAATGTAACTGCCCAAATCTGACAAAGTATGGTAGATACATCCTAAGCCCAGCCTTAACTCAACCAGCTTACCATTGGTTAAAAGATGGATATTGCAGAACATTGATATTGTTCCCCATTTCTATTGGTTTCAGCTGCACCGACAAGCACCCAATCTTCTACCCAGCATGTAACAATGTCATATTTCACTAATATAGATTAAGCAAAATTACTCATTCATGTGGATTAAGATGATTATAAGTCTAAGCCAACCAACAATGCATTAAATTATTGGATTACCTAAACCAAAATGGAATAAACCGCCAATCCAAACTCCATGAGTCTTAAAGTTTGGTAACTTTTTCATTGACATTACGATTTAGTCTGGGGCAAAGCCAAAGTTGCAGTTATATGTGTTCAATTTACCTATCCAAGTAGTTTTTAATAGAATGTCATATTTGGCAAGTGAGGGGGATTATACACTAAAAGTTGCCCTACTGGGAGTGCAAGTTAATAACGGGAATTATCTCCCCAATGGTGGCTTGTGGGGTTGAGTCCTGGAGAGCGCTGTGAAGCACATCTTTGCAACAATAAGGTGTAATGAAAGTGTTTTTTGACACTAAATACAGTGCAAGTGAAATGAACAGGAGGCTGATACCAAATAACTTCACTGATAGAGCCCTGTATAATCATATCAAGCACATCTCAAGTTAAACTGATAGATTCATGTACAAATGTAGTCATTGATTGTGGTGATGTGATAAAAATGCTGAAAATGTCCCATCAGGCAATGAAAACTAACCAAGTGTATTGAGGCGGATCTGAGGCGGTTTGCAGTGAACCTCCCACAACTGACGCTTTACTACCCATGATTTACTGCCACCCTCTCAATCATTCTACCATCTGAATGGTGGATACAAGTCACATGGTACACCACACATTCCTCACCCACAATTCTCATGATTTTCAGAGATAAAACATCATGAACAAAAGTATAAAATATCAATCCCAAATTCAAATAAAATCAAGCAATTTGTCTAAACAACTGACAAAAAGTCTACATAAAGCCTTCAGTAAGCATTATAGCACGATTCACCCATGACTAGTAGAGCGACTCACTGCCGGGGAGATGTAAAAACTTCCTGACAGGCTCTTTTGTCAGCTCAAGTGTTAAATTTCAAAAGATTGACACTGTCTAGAAAACCTGCTACACAACATTCTGCCTGGCTCTCAGTTTTCCACTTGAAACAGAACTTGATTGGCCCAGGTAAACATAGCGATGTTTTCATAAGTTTTCTCTGTCACAAATGAGAACTGACCTAGTGCGGAGAAATGAGGTTTGCTGAGATCAATGCACTGAGGCGATCAAATATATTTATACCACTTTATATAGATTTAAATAGTCACCATTGGAAACAAATTATAGGCGCAGTGCATTCTGAATATTTATATTCTATTCAACGCTCATATTCTCTAAGAAGTTAGCGTTATAATTACCATAGTAATAGAAAACACATCATAGGGCCAAATGTTGAACAATCTGGCCCAGGAACATGCATTAGAAAAAAAGTGATAATCTTACCTGTTTATGCATCTCCACGTTTAGGCCATATGACATCTCATAATACTGAAAAAGGAGATGAAAAACATATAATTTCTGCAGATGAAATTCATTAGTATTTATCTGCCAATATTTATTCCATTAATTTACCGCTATTTGTTTGGGAAAGCTACTGCTAGACAAATATTGCTTTGAATAAAAAATTGCTCCTTTTAAGATCTTAAAGAGTTGATTCGATATGCCTGTTAGGCTGTTAAAATGACAAAACAACAGCACAGCGCTAAGCTTCTAAGTAGCATCTAGCAAAAAATTCAGGTGTTCAAAATCTAAAAAACTAGCTCTAAGTTTGCTATGCAATGGAGTAATGAGTGCCACTATACATAGCACTTGACATTGTCTAGCACAATACATGAAACAGGATGGCGATACCTGAAGACAATGGACAAGTCATTATACTTTGGGTGATATTGAAAGCCATTTCGCATGTTAAATTCCAACAAAACGCACCAAACAGGAAAGTCAAACAGCAAGAGTGGACCAATGAAAATACAAAAGAAAATTAAGACACTGTAACCAAAATTCAGGGCACATCATAGAGGGAAACCCAAACATAAAAAAATCAAAGAGTATGAGTGGAACAATGGTAAGAAGAGACAATTACTATAACCTAGATCACAGATCACATCATAGAAAAGAAAAACCAAACGTGAAAATCATTAGCTAATGACATTCATATATTGACATAATATTGATAAAGTCAAACCAAACATGACAAAAATCTTACAACCGCCATTGGCAATCTGATGAAGACATGGTATTGATACAGCTATATTAAACACAGTAACATCACTTTCCCAAGAAACGATCCATCATTCAGGCCAAAAAGCAGGGATTGTTTTTTCTTGTTTAACACCAACTGAAGGAGAATAACACCCCGTAGCAAACTGAGCCATAATTCCTTTCTCGAATCTATTGATCAGGGCAACTTGATCCTTAACCTTCCTTTCAGTCCGGGGAAATATTCCTCTGTTAAGCATGACAACCAAGATAAGGATCAGAACATTCACTGCATCTTATCAACATAAAACGTTCACAAAGATTGCCCACCTCTGGAACGATACTACAGATGTAGATTTTGTATGATAAGAAAATTGATGTTTTAAAAGAGCATGAGGGATACGCAATCTGTGGTATCAATGAGATGGAATAAAGAATCGTCAGCAAAGGAGATCAATAGAGAGTTCAATAGGCTTTCCATATACATTAAAATGCTTTTGTTAGAAGAGCGGCCCGCACTGGCATAGTCTGTATACATTATGATATAATTATTACACAGGGTTGATTAACTGGATAAACATTACCTATACTGTATCAATGAAAGATGGAAAAATCAATAGCCTTGATTCTGATTATCCTCTCAAGACTCTCACAGAGCATTCTATTGCATGGTCACAGCATCATAACCCTTTGCAAGACTGATCATCGACATTTGTTCAAAACTCTCTGAATATGTAATAAACATCAAAATTTGCAAAGCCAATCAAAGCCTGCCATGCTCAGCCTATGCACAGGGGGTGGGGAGATTTCCCAAACTACAGAATTGGTATTGGCTCATGTGTTACCCATGTGATAGATTCATATAAAGAATCCAATTTAGTGTTATACGCCATTTTGAATGTCATGTGATGGATCCATATAAGACTTGTAGGACCATGTAGGGAAGCTAAGGGGAAGCCCCTAATACCAAGTAATACCAAATAACTATGGGACCTACTCACTTCTAGCTTGTGCAGTTCCCGTATGCTACGTAAGGAGCATGTCATTGTCTGTACATGCACACCAAACTATTAAATGATTGATCTTAATAAGAGGATATTACACTAACCGATGTTTAATTGTCTGGGTACCTAATAACCCCCCAAAATGACCAAAGATTATCCCAACCACAAAATGTTCAAGAATCACTAAGTTTGCTTGCACTATTATCATAATGTCTTAGACTTATAGACACATCTAGACCAGTAAGCAGGTTTAAGATTAGTCCCTGTGTATACTTTTCCTGAATGCGAGGGAGTAGAGTACATGGTCTTATATATCTTTTATCGAATCATTGCAAAACTTAAATAAGTGAGTTTATACAAGATCTTTTAGGGAATTTATAATCAAAATGTAATGTTGAGACTGTTTGAAATTGATAATGAAGCTTTGGGTATATAGTGATACTTTCAAGTCAAATGTGAGATCTGATCACTAATATTCATCTAAACTTTAGGTGACTTTGTAACCAAGCATGGCTAATGATGCACATATGAACTATGAATATTATTTCATTGTGTTTCAACTATTCAATGCCATTTGAGAAAATAATACTTTGCAATGAAGATCCATCAAACTTTTAGACTTTTTTTCCCTTTAGCCATTGTCCATAAATAATGCAAAAACTACAGTTTTTTATTGTCTTTACTGAAGCAAATTGAAAGGTACCCTGAATGTACAGTAACAAGTAGGCCTTGATGTAGTAGGCCTTGATGTAGAAGGCCTCAATGATAGGCCTAAATGTCTTCTCAGAAAAACGAATATCATGTAATATTCTTAATTATAGGTAAATTGCTATACCTAGCTCACTATTATAATTCAAATAATCAAGCACTTGATAGTCACTGATGTACATAATACTCATTATATTTTTTATGATCTCCGAAGCAATAATCACTATGATATAATTATACTGCAAACTCATATTGCTTCAATGGAAACTTCTTCAAAGGGTACACTATTATATTATTGTAAAGTTCACTAGTTGTAATAGCTGTGTTATGGGTTCATTTTGCAACTGAATTGATAAAATGATACTAATGAGTACTAATGAGCTAGTGGGCTGCACGCATAATAGCAAATCAAGATGGCATATCCAACATTCTGGCAAATACAACATTTAGTTCCATGGTGATATTAGCACAATTTTTACCAAGATTCCTATTCCTGTGAAAATCATTCCTTTAGATAATAATAATTAAAGATTGAGTTCATATCTTCAGTTGTCTTGATAAAGTTATGTTTCTCCTCCATCAATGCAGACTAATATCAGATTTATGAGAAATGGGCATTGTGCTACAAAGACTGGCCTCAGAGGGATCATACATTGTACAGGGCTTCTTCAGATAATCAAATAAAGTATAGATATTCTACGTCTTGTGAATCTTATACAGATGAGAATTATGGGACCTGCGAGGGCAATCAATTTGACGATTTATACTCCCCAGTGCCAACTGGTCCTCTTAGACTAATGAGTTAGCCATGGAAAATTGTGAAAAATACTTCACCCAAAGTTACTATGCCTACAGAGTATAGTTGTTTCTAGTTGTTAGACCATGGTGGAGTCTTACAATTGTTTTAATAGGTCCAATTGGGGTGATTCAGTGAAGGCATAATATGTTTAAGACCATGTACTCTATGGCCCTTTTAAAAAAAGTTATCAACTTGACCCTTAACCATAATATACACAGCCTTACCAGGTTGGTCACCATTTTACACAACACATACAAAACAGCAGTAATTCTGCTAAACTAGCTTTTGCGAAAGGTATAATAAAATGCATAAAAGGAGAAATCATACCAGTTAGTTACAGCCCCACATTACAAAGAATTATAAGAAAAATAGACATTGGAAGAAGGAGGATTAAGCAATAAAAATCCATGAATTGTTTAGGCATTTAGTCACATAATTTAGCCATGTAGGTACATGTCCATTTTGTGTTTTATCCACAGTATTCCCATAGGTGGTAGAACTGGCCTAGATTAATCATTTTAATCAAAATTAGCAGCATAACCACATCTATGCAGCACCAAGAGAAGTACATGCCAATAATAAACATATTGAACTAGTATAGTTATGAATTGAAATACGATATACATGCAGCAAAACTAGTTTAACTATTCAAATGGACGAATAAATAAAAAGCTGACCCATATGCCATTCTTTAAGGTAGCCCTGTAATTAGGTTGGACATCTTTTGTACTATGTCCATAAGGCATGTGTAAATTGCACAGTGTAAATTACAACTCTACACCAAGGAAAGAAGCCAAATTGTATGTTATATAGGGGAACACCATTAATGAATCCCACATGCAAACTGAAGATTTTAACGCTGGCAGAGACATGTAAAACATCTAAACATGAAAATCAAAAAAGAACAAAGTAAGAAAGTATAAACACTAGAGATCACCACAAAATGACATGACTTGTTACCCATGATTTACATACCATCACATAATGCCGTTGCATTTCAGTCTTTTCTTGCGCTAATTTTTCACACTCCATTTTGAGGCTACAAATAGAGGATGTGATATTAACACTGTATAATAACACCTACCATTACATAATGTCTCTGCATTTCTGTTTTTTCTTGTGCAATCTTCTCACGTTCCACTTCAAGACTGAAAAATGACAGGCATAAGATCCAAAGTTAGTATACAAATATTGATATATACAGTATTATGTAATTTAAACATCCTACAGCTCCTCCTTATAAATGAAAATCAGTTAATGCAAATTGATTAATGTTATGTTACATAAAATATAGAGCAATCCGAAGAGCAATACTCTCCTTAGTATTAAATATGTTTTAAATATGAAGTCACAAGGACAGAGCTCAATTTGCTCATTCAATCACATTACCTTACAGTGGGGCACTGTCTCCCATGAAAAATAAACAAATGGTAGTAAAGTAAATAAATGGCTGGATTGAACTTTAATAGATATAAAATACATCATATCATTAATGAGATTGAAACATGTGCCAAACACATCAATTAATGTACATGTTCACATCTGGGATAGTCGCCCATTGCCAGTAAATCACAGTCCAGTATAGCACATGTCATGATGATTCTATTCATTGTCTCATATTTTTTATTGAATGGATCTTATGATGTATTACTTGGACAATAGGCACTGAAGGTTATGCTACGATTATGGATTAGAGAAACCATCCCCAGATCCAACTAGCCTATATATTATGAACTAGATATATACCTAGGTCAAACTAGAGGACAAAATCATATTTATATATTAACAATATACTTTATAATTTGGGGTAGGAGGAAAAGGGTCACTAGCCAATTATATTCGCTCTGCTACAACAAAAAGCTCAACATTTTTTTTATTTCCATTAAATGTCATGTTCTATATATATTTGGCTCATGTTCGTATTTCAAATGCTCGGAACTATGATATGATATCGATTGTATGTGGGTTTTATATTTATAAAACTGTGCATGTCATAACAAGCCACTTCCTCTTTGTCGCTAATAACATTGGTTACGGTCCTGAAGGACATTTTAACCAATGAAAATAGAAACTTGGTGAATCATAGGCTGGTTGAGAGGGTATCTCTATTATTACAAAATTGCAGCTCTATTATGATGAAAATGTAATTTGCATTGACAATTACATGGTAGAATCTTACTTCGGTCCAAAGCCTTCTCTATATTCCGGCTTTGAGGAGGAAGATTGAGCTGCCTTAGTATTATAAATATTGTAAATCATTGTGTCACACGCACAGTAAATATGGCATAATAATATGAAATATACCTTTATGTATAGATTTGAAGAACATCAGCTCACATCCCCGTCTGAATCTATTGTTATATTTGATTTCTTTAAGCGAGAATAATTTCAAATGTTATTCACGTCCAGAACCGGAAGCCATTTTTAGCTACAGCGAGAAAATTTCACCATTTGTCAAACTCCGAAATGAAATTTTGAAATATCTAAATCCAGACAAGCAACGCTTCATCCTAAATATAATTAATATTCTTAAAAATATTTATAAAATTTATTAAAAATGAGTTCTAGGTGCGTGTAGGTGCGTGTAGCACAGTACATACGAAATCAATGAAGTTTCGTCTAGCTGTAAGCTAGAGACTCGAGTAAGTAGAATCTAATAACTACAAAATGTTGAAATGGTCAGTTCAGGATATCAGGGATTGGTTTGCCTGTGAGGGTGAATGGGGTGTTTTAGTGCATTTTGATAGAGTCCAGAAATAAGGCTGACCAAGCAGCCCAACCACAAGCATTGTAGCAAATGATACTGACAATGTATCAATTATTATAGAGCCTATTGGCTGGCATCAAATTCTAACAATGTTACAAATAGAGAATGGCCATTTGGCAGTAAATTTGGACAATGTAACAAATATGCACCAATAATGTGATTGTCACCCAGACAAAATGTACAGCATGTTACTAGTTTCTGACCTATATGGAATGTCTAGTCTAAGTTGACCTAGTTTCATCCCAGGGAATTACAGTAAATTCCTTTTGACCAAACTTTTAGAAAAACTGAAATTGTACAAAAAGATAAATATGGAAGTATTTACTCTGTATATTTTAGTAAATGATAATGCTAGACATTTTAGGTGATATAAAGATAACATAATTTGCAGACCTGCCACCTCAGTCATATTTGGCCTCGGACCAAGGTTAGTCTAGCAAGTGTTTTTGGATAGTCTAGCTTACCTGTGGTATTGAGCTTGTAGAAAGCTAAATTCCTCTTTAATTCGGTCGCATGATTCTGTTACTGTGAATTTGAAAGGCTGTCCCGGCTGGTGTGGGCCCTGGAAAAAAATCAGCCAATGAAACACTACTTCTGCGACACCCTGTACTATATTGACATACACATATCGTATTACAACGATCGGTCATTCAGAACAATGAACAAATGAATTTTGATGGAATTCACCACTTACCGGATGCCTATTTGGGTACATCTTGGCCTTATTGTTCGGCCCGTGGGCTACAGATTATCCAGATTGTATAATATCCAAAATATGTGTACGTTTGAAGCTCGAAAGAGCTCGATTTTGTTCCGAAGTTCAAATATTTCACTGGTTTGAATTTGTTTGTCAACGTATGGTGTACATTCTTCGTCGATTCGCTGCTAAATCCTCCGATTTCATTCACAATTTTTATATCACAATAATCCAGAGACCTTCAGCTTTCCGGTGATTAACTTTATAGTAATATCCAAGTGAGTTTTGATGGTGAAATCCGTTGAAAAAGTTGCTGGGAAAGTTCTTCTTCCTGCTCTGATGCCACACACGGCTAGTTAACACGCGGTATTGGTACTTCGCTAACAATGGATAGGCAAACAGACTTTCCATATAAGGCGAGCCACTGATTGGTTCAATCAAGAAACCGCACTCAGTTAGGCCACGTGGCCTCATTAAAAATACACACTTTCACACACTGTTAGCCAATCATAATTGAGCAAATAAATTGTTTTCTTCGCTTAAGCTTTCTAGCTAACGCCCATCGAGCATAAATTAATGTCAATCAAGAGAGCGTGTCTCGAGCAATGCGAACAGCCACTTACTTGTGTTTAACTCTTATACAGCCATCTTATACGGACAGGGCATGTTTATTATGCAGTGTACCCCGTACCTGTACTCTTTCATTTTGAGAAAATCATATTTTTTGACTTTTTGATTATTACAAATGTGTCATCTTACGTCAAACACCAATAAGAGACAAACATAGCAATACATCATGTCATCATTAGGTCCATGATTAGGCCCATTAGCTAAATATCGATGGAAATTCGGGGACAAATCCTTTGCATTCTAACAAAAACTGAATTCATTCATGTTCAGTTATTGCTTCGATATTGGCTTTTTCAATAGTTGTTAAATTCTCACATAGTCGAAGATATATTCTTTCTCAAGCCGATACATACAGACAGAATTTGCGGAATTGTGCAAACGCCGTTCGTTATAGGTATATACCTTTCGAGTTAGCCAATCAGAGTGTAGATCTAGTGGAGCTTGTACAGCCACGTGGCTTTGAGATGTGGATGTCAAGTTAGGCTCCGCCTTTAATTTCTCTAAATGAAGGATTTTCTCTGGAATTGTAGAAACGGAGTGATTCATCTATGAAATAGACTTCTGGAGATGAGATATTTGTTTTTCCAAATCTTAATTCTCCCATCTGTGAAATTTCCAGTAATTCGATTTGATTGGTTATAAAATAGGCATGTATTCAATGAGAAAATCCACTCAAGGCGTATAAGTCCAAAATTGTTGCCATGGAAACCATAATTCATGGTATATTAGACTTGTAAATTGCATTTCCACTCCATTTGCTGTGTCCAGATTTAATTAGTGTACTTCTGTTTCTGAGAATATTAAACTCCATTATTCAAAGATGATGAGTCTTGTGTGTCTTCTGCAACTTTACCTTCCCAACCATAAAACAATACTCACTTACCAAATCATAATTTAAAGAGATAGATAATATGAAATTAAATGAAAGCTGGTAAAAGGCTTTCCTGAGATATTATAGAAATTAATGTATAAATGATATAATATGAAAATCATAATAAGCCACTTGTAAATTGCACTATATCTGTGACATACACTCCCCTCCATAAGTTTGGCAACCTTAGTTCCCACATTGAACTATGTGTTAAAGATTTCTGATTTGTGCGGAACCCACCATTTCCCATTGGTTTACATGGGAATGACGATTTTCAAAAATTCATCAAATTTATCATCAATTTTCGACCTATTGTAATTGAGGAAAAAAATTGGGAAAATATGGAGGTATTGGAAAGAAAGTCATGTTACGTTTCCATCAATATTTTAAGTTATTTCATCGCAGGTTAAGTAAATAAAAATTCAAATGTAAAAAGGCTTTAACACATAGTTCAATGGGGAAGCTAAAGTTGCCAAACTTATGGAGGGAAGTGTATCACTTTTTACTTGGTAAGAATGACATATATCACTACACATTTTACAAGTGTGACATACAGCATTACATAATTTATAAATGTGTTATATCATTTCACAGGACAGACACAAAATATTACCAAGTTAAAAGTGTGACATATGTCACTACAAAATGTGACATAACAACTTACAGTTGATAACTGTAAAGAACTTAGCTAGCATTCGCGAATGCAACTTACGCCTGTCAGCTACCGGATTAAACAACTATTTTATGACAAACTCATTTAAATATGAATGGAATGGTGGCAGGTACTGGATGACACAAAAAAATTATGTAACATCATTATAGTTCAAAATGTTTGACAAGGAATGCAGTTTGCATATTTAACACATTCTTTCATTTTATATATTCATACAGTTTCATGACAGAATATATTATATCTGCAAACTTTGCAGATATAACATATTCTGTCATTTCACATTTTCATACAATTTGCATATTTAACATACATATGTATATTCTTTCATTTCATATATTCATACAGTTTCATGACAGAATATATTATACATGTATCTGCAAACTTTGCAGATAGGCCTATAACATATTATGTCATTTCACATTTTCATACAATTTGCATATTTATTATTTATTTATTATTTATTTGACAGTCACTTTTATAACAAAGGTGCGTCAATATTACAAATAAGTAGTATGCAAACAATACATTTTTTACTAAAATCTGTAGAAGAATATGAGACATAAGCTTTAAGTAAAATCATTAAAATAGGTTAAAATCACACTGTGTTATGTTTCACATACACCTTTTTCAGAAATCTTTTTCTACAAACATCAAAATTCCAGCCATTGTCATACCCCCAGGCACGTAGCCAGGGGGGGGGGGGTTCGATGGGCTTCATATATTCATACAGTTTGCATATCTAAGACATTCTTTCACTTCATATATTCATACAGTTTGCATATGTATTGTTATGCAACATACCATACCACATGTTTACATATTTAACATATTTCTACAGTTTAAATGTTAACATCAAATAAGAAAATCAATTTTAGACTTACATGCTCATAATTGTTTCAAAATAAAGACTTTGATGAATGATTGAATAAAAGAATGAGATGAGGATATTGTTACATTGAACATCTGCATCTATTTGCTCATTAATAAACGTCTATGTTTTGTTAACTGACAAGTTTTATTCAAATTATCTAAACTATATCATTTGCATGTAACATATTTGTTAAACTATGCATATAGCATTTGTGCGTTTTTATTTCATTTTTTTAGAAGATGCAAATCATCATCTGTAACTATAGCTTGAATACACAATGACCTTAAAACATCAAATATTAATACCTACATCTACATAAAATAAAATCAATGAACATTTTCCATACAAACATGTACATTTATGTGATATTGTATTTGTAATATGATTTTTATCATTAGATATTAGATTCATGGGACATAACATCTGAAAATATTCCATGTGCATGGTGACATTACCATTTGTATACAGTAAAACCAGTAAAGATGAACACATCTGTAATAAGGATAACACTCCCAAGTGGAAAACTGTGAAGTCCTGTTTCTCATAGCTTAATGTCAAATTAGCCTCTGTATTAGTCAAACACCACTCAACATTTGGAACACTGCTTTAATACTAAGGTGTTCCACTTTCACAGGTTCTACTGTACAGTGCATTTTTAATTATTGATATTGCCACATCTAAATGTACCAAGATTCAGTTTCTGAAACACTGTAAATGTCAATTGGCAAGTACCACGCGTGAGTACCCTGCGCACAGAGTTATAAAGTACTCTCTGCCTAGTATAGACTACATTACAGTTTAGCAGCCCCGCCCCAACGACCGATACCTGTGACAGCTCTGGTCTTAAATCATTTCACACCTACCGAGCTAACCTATTCTCAATAGGCGAGCTTGATGGAACAAGTGCTAAATACGTGCACAATAATTATGCAATTACATCAGAGAAAATGACCATATATAGAAAGTCGTCCAAATTTCGATGATGATCTCTGATTCGCTCAGTTCAGAGATTTATTGAAAACTGAAAGAGTAAATACGAAACTCTCTTTTGAGAAATGAAGTCGAGAGAATACAAAGGGTAAATTCTCTTGGAATTGCTTATATGGGGAAAAATAGGGCACTTTTAAAAAGATTTGATCTATTTTTCAAAAGTTCAACTTTTCTAAAAGTCCCATTTTCTAGATACTTTATAATCCAGGTAGGAGACAGGGATTAACACTGGAAATGACAGTGTTACTGTATGCAAGGATGCCATCTCTGAAATTGACGTCCTTGCTGTATGTGAGAGAACATAGAAAACTTCAACTTCCTCAGAAAAGGAAAGAACAGTTACACAATGGTTCCAGCTGAAAAGCTTTTGTAAGGGGCTTAATTGTTGTTTTAATTGCATACCGATAAACATGGCTTCTCTGTCAAAAAATGACAAAAAAGCTACTGGAGCATAACACATGTTCCATTTTAAGACAACCTAGGGACTCTCAGAGGATAAACCCAATGAGTGTGAAAAGCAATTTCATAGTTGGAAGATTTTAACATGGGATTGGTACTCTACTGAATAAGAGACAAAGGGTCTCACAATCCCTGGATATTATGTTTCTGGATCAGCATTGATTGGTTCATTTTGGTCATTTGGTAGGCATGGGGCTCATGGGAGCATCCTTTCTTTGAGCATTTGCTCTACCAAATCTGCTGTTGATGGAACTGCTTCCACCAGATGAATGGATTCCATTGATCATTGTCGAAAATATATGAACTTCTCAAAAAAGGTAAAAAGATAAATCGATTTAAAAATGGTGTACATAGATACAAACAAATAAAAAAGACATATTATATTAAATACATGATTATTTAAACAAACCACCTTTTCAAAATCCAATCGATCCTTACTATGGTTTGGTCAAAAAGGAGAAGCTATGGAACTTCACTGACCATTGACCAAGTGTCTGTCTTTAAAAGGACAAGCTCCAGAACTTTACTGACCATTGACAGGTCTATGTGTAATAATCCTAATTCATTTCCGCGCATTATGCTAAAAACCTAATTAAAAGTCACTGTCTCA